GGTGGGGGAAGAAAGAAAGGGGAAAGGCGGAGAAAAGCCACAAAGTTTTAAAATTGGATGGGAAAAGAGGAATCTTTTTCAGGGATAAAGGGTAAAGTATAAATTTTCTTTAAAAAGATTCTGCAAGGTACATAAGACGGTATTGTAATATTTGTATTAGAAATAGAAAATTAGAATGGCTTAAGAGTTAATAAGAAATTAAAATGTTGAAATGTTTAATAATGATTGATTTTTAAAATGTAATAAAATATTGAAGGGAAAGGCAATGAGAATGCTATAAGATTTATTATTTAGATTTATTATTTAACTACGTATTTAGGAGGATACTATGTATTTAAACATTTCCGATTTATTACTCTGTTTTTATTGTTATTAAAAGTAAAAATTAATAGATAGAATGTACCAAGCAGAATCAGATTGGATATTAGGTGTCATTTTAAATGTTAATCTAATACTTAGGGAGAGGATAGAAAGGCATCATACTCTGATTAGAGATTTCAGGAGAATTTTTTTTTTTTTCATTATAAGGAATGAGATAGAGGGATAATAAAGGATGGGCAAAAGATACAAATATAATGATTTAAATTAAGATGGATTGAATAAGATAGAATTATGAAGAGTGAAATGTGTGGAGAAGTATATATAGAAGATACAGAATGGTAAACAAAATAGGTAATGATTTCTAAGATGAGCATGAATATAATTAAAGCCCATATAAAGAGAGGTACCGGGGGCCAAAGTTACTTTACTAAAAGATTTTTTATATGTTTGTTTGTGTCTGTTTATGTTTTTGAGAAGTATTGGTGAAACCTTTTAGAAACACAGAAAGAGAATGACGATAATCAAGTCAGAAAGAAATAGAGGACAAGAGATGTTTTTATGCTCATTTAGAAATGGTTTAAAATAGAATTGTATTGTATAAGATAAGGTTTTATCTGACTTGTAAAATTTATAATGGAAAAAGGTTCAAATATGTAATGGTTGATGATGATTTGTTTGTTTTTGAAATTAATAAAACTTGTTTAAAAAAAAAAAAAATCCAGGTCACAAATAAGATCAAGTACTTGGGGATATATTTGACAGCAAGATGTAGTACACTAAAAGAGAATAATTATATCAAACTTAAGCAGCAGATAGCGCTAGATTTGGCGAAATGGGAAATTTACAACTGTCATTAATAGGAAGAATATCAACAATCAAGATGAATATATTACCCAGAATTTTATATTTGTTCCAAACAATTCCAATTAGGCTTGGAAAAGATTACTTTGAAGATTTAAATAAAATTGTGTTGAAATATATATGGCAAGGTAAGAAAGCGAGAATAAATTTAAAACTTTTGCAAGATGCTAGAATAAGAGGAGGATTTGGTTTGCCTAATGGGGAGTTGTACTACCAAGCTACAAATTTGATGTGGGTTAAGGAATGGATAACATTCAGAAATACTAGATTGTTGACATTAGAAGGACATGATCTGTTGTTGGGGTGGCATGCTTTTTTATGGTATAAAGGAACTAAAACACAGGGGTATTTTAGAAGACATTATATACGGGAGTCTCTGTGGTTAAACTGGGAGATTAAAAGACAATGTTATTTGAAAATTCCAGCCTGGTTATCGACTATTGAAGCATTTTCTTATCCTATAATATACAAAAAGGAACAAACAGTTAGATATGGTGAAATATTGAATGAAAAGGGTGAACTTAAATCCATGTAAAAACTAGAGGAACAAGGTATAAAGATGAATTGGTTTTCATATGTGCAAATACATTCAAGGTATGATAAAGATTCTAAAACAGAAGGTTTCTATGATAAACTGACTGACTTAGATAAGATTTTGACAGGTACTGATGAAAAGCTGATTAAAAAATTGTATGGATATTTATTAGAAATTAAACTAGAAGAACAAGTTAAAGAAACTATGATTGCTTGGGGGAAGAATTTTGGATATGGGATTGATCTAGAGAAATGGCAAAAACTGGTCTCAAAATTATAAAATGACAATGTCAACAGCATATAAAGAAAATGTGTATAAGATGTTTTACAGGTGGCATTTTCCCCCCAACAAGAATAGCAAGAATGTTCAAGAATAAATCCGAAAAATGTTGGAAATGTCATCAGACACCTGGCTCATATTGCCATGTGGTGGACAGCTTGAGAGTCAGTCCAATCCGCTAGGACACTGAGCTACCGATTCCTGACCTATCGCAGCCTCCCAAGGGAGAAGCAGCCAATCTCTGGAGAAGCCTTGATCTTCCAACAGCCAATAAACCTACAGCATGTTCAGTGTCAGGAGGCAGCAGGACCTAATCAGCAGCTCCATAGGTTATACCCAAGATCATGGATTGTGGAGGAGAAACTAAGAACAAGGTAGCTCACGCCCAAACAGTATACACACTTGGCAGCTTAATTATAAAAGCAAAACTGTGGAGTCTTCTATAGTGTAGCTTCTTTTTAACTTATATTGCATCTGTATTTTATTTTTGAAAGTATATTATGGAGTGCCAGAGGATCTCTGTGACATGTACCCTTACATGAAACTATAAACGAAACCATCAAGGATAGGGATTCAGATGTAGACAACATTTCCTTTCAGATACATTCCAAGGTTGTTTTTAACAGTTTAATATTAAAGAACTCCCACCCTATTATTGCAGTTGCTGAGCTATGTATCACAAGGGATACAGACAGGAGATTTTGGGGAAGGCATTCATCATTTAAAAGTGAGAACAGCCAATTCAAATCTAGGGTGGGACATGTAAGTAAATTAACCCTTTATTGAAAGTCAGGACAATAACTCTATTGTCCATGCTTCTGCAGGTTTCAATGGCAACACGATTGTTAGGAAATTTTACACCAACACAGTGCAAATAGGCAGTGCTCATTTTCCACTAAATTCTTACATTTTGTTTTCCATTGAATGTAATTTATGGCCTCTAGACTCCAAAACTGTATGTTGATTTCAATAAAACTAAATTAATTATGCTTTAAAAATATATTTGTTTGTGCAAAGTATGTTTCTCAAATAATTGACATAGGTCAACACAGGTGTTTCAAAAAATTCTTTTGTAGCTTAATAGCCAAAGTTTTCTTCGCAATATAATTGGTATCTGTGATTTAAATACCCAACGGATACTATGCTACAAAAATGTTTAAGATCCTGATGATTTTTTTTCATTCAATAACGAACAATTCATAATTAAGGTAATATTAAAGTCAGAGAAGTTAGTTTCTATACACAATATCCAAGAGCAGAATGGAGATGAACGATGGAGCCCATCAGCAGTTCATATTCCAATTCAGTTTTATCAAGCAGTGACGTAGGCCTCCATTCCAGGCCTTCTTTCAAAGTAGGTTCCACTTTAAAGAAACAAACTGTTTTGTCTTCCTTTGTAAACCCTCACCCAAAAGAACTCACATTTCTTTCATTCATTGTGATTCTTTCTTCTAAAGTGCAGTATACATTGCACAACCAGCAATAAATAAAAGGCTACTATCTAATATACATGAAGTATGATAAGAATTATAACTTATAATGCTTAAAACTAGAATATACCAAAGCATGTAAAATTATAGAGATAAGGAATAATAAACCTGGCAACTTTTTAATGCAGTTTTGACAGTTTCTCCATTTCAGCTGGAATGTATTAATATTCTACATAATTTTTATTTCTAGGGCCCTCTAGAACTTTGTAAATCTCCTAAGATTTTATTTGAATAGGTTCCTTTCATTCAAGCCAATGGTTGTGTGTGTGCGTGTGTGCATGCGCAGGCACCTTTTAGGACAGAGATTTAAGATGCAAAAGGAAATATACGATAACTTGAAAGGACAAAAGAAATAAGTATATTTATCAGGGTCCGATTTGAACTTTCATTTGCATTGCTTTATTCTGGAGCTCATGGTTGCACGTACACCAGGGATCCCCAACCTTTTCGACGACGCGGCCCGGTTCCGACATCAGCTGGGCGCCGCGGCCCGGTACCGGCGTCAACTGGGCGCCGCCATCTTTTTATGACGAAAAGGCGCTTCCGGTGAGCTTTCTACCCGGAAAAGCTCACCAGAAGCGCTTTTTTACCAAAAAAAAGATGGCGGCGCCCAGCAACCAGCGGCCCGGTAAGGGTTGTTCCGCGGCCCGGTACCGGTCCGCGGACCGGCGGTTGGGGACCCCTGACGTACACCATTTCTGATATAATATTTTACTACACAGAGTTATCATGGCTAAGCCCTTCTATTCAGTTTTAAGGGGACAAGCTAATTTTGCTCTTGCATTCTTCCAAGAGTAATCTTTAAGACTTGTTTCCACTGAAAATTTAAATTTAGGACTTTGTAAATTTGTAAATTTAGGACATGAAAGAAAATCATTTGTGGACATTTCAACAAATCAAATGACATTTTAAAAATAGAAATCCTGCCTCGTGGCTTTTCTCAATGTAAAAAGAATCCTTCAGACCAGGGGTTCTCAACCTGTGGTCATGGACCCCGGGGGGGGGGGGGAGAGATGTCATCACAGGGGGTCTACAAAGGCTTGAAGAAATGTTATGATCTGAAGCTTGAGTTAAGTCTTCAGGGTTTGTGGCCATAAAAAGTATTTAAAGGGGGTCCGTGAGGAAGAAAAGGTCAAGAATCACTGCTTCAGACCATCTTTCAATAGTAAAATATGCAGTTTAAGATAAAATCATAAATAGTGGGAGTCAAGTAGCTTTTATCTTTTGCAACCTAACAGTTGCTAAGAAAATCTAAAAGAAACACAATCAAGGACAACTGACCGACAGATTTACCTTGAGAGGCTCAGTATAAACAGATTATATGAATACTGATCAAAGTTGTGAAGATATGTGTAAAGACACTATTAGTTATAAATGACAATTTACATTTTACATTACACTAGAAAACTAATGCACTGTTTTTCATAGCAAACATTTACATATCGTAAATGAATAAGGCCCTATTGTGTAATAAGCTGAATTTTGCTGGATCTACAATTAAAACTGAACATCGTGGTTTCTAAAATGTTTTATTGTTACAAACAAGTCGTTTTCATCACACACACACAAAACTACAAGTTATAACATATACTTTACAATGAGTGATACAGTCCAGGAGACAGGCACACTCACAACATAATTCTATATTTAGTAGGCTTCTAGAACTATTTACCCTGCATTGTGGTGAAATGATTTAAACTTACTACTTTCTTTATTTGTATCCAAATCTTAACATCAAGAAACAAAAATCCAATGTTCACAAGATACGCAATATATTCTAACAGCAAGATCACTAGAAAGGTTCTACTAAAAAATGGGATTACTTCCATTTTTAAGCAAAAGTGGAAGTAGATTACAGAGCGACTTCTTCAAATGAAGTACATGCAGAGGGTTGAGGATAACAACAGTCGTGTTGTAACTGTTAATAAATTTTACAATTAGCCATATGAACAGAAAAGTAAAAGTAGGACTTCCCTCTGCTTCTGCAAAATTTTTGTATTTAATTATCTTCCGTTTGGTCAAGAGTGAAGTCAGTCTGTTCTTCTGCTTCTGCTTCTTCCTCCTCTTCTTCCCCTTCCGCCTCCTCTTCCTCCTCCTCTTCTGCAGGTTCATTTGCCTTGTCTTCTTCTTCTTCTTCTTCTTCTGCCTGCTGTTCTGCACTTTGATCAGTGACTTCAAATGGATTTTCACCCTAAAAATCAGTAATTAAAGTTAATCAGAAACAAACTCTGTTCACTGAAATATGTACTGACAGGAATAAAAATAAATAAATCTAAAATTGGATTCCCCATTCCCAATTCAAGGTGAAAATAAGCAGGAATAGCTTCAATATTTACTTATACAATTTATATGGCCATTTCACATGGTGGCTAGCCATATTTAAAATCAAAATGCAAATAACATAAAACCAATTACATTTCATGCTATATTTTCTGGATTTTGTTCCACTAAATTTGGACTATTTTACAATGAAGAACATATAATAAGCATAATTCATGTACAGATCACGGTCTATTTGCAGTGTTGTTTATAATTCAGTCAAACCAACCATACGTTTTAATTGATATACTGTACAGTGTATCTCCAACCATTTCTTTCTCATGGCTTGTTTTTTAATCTGGAATATCTAGAAGTTGCATACAACCCAGTGCAAAAGTCAAAGGTTCTAGTGCCATTATTACTGAAATTACTTGCAGAAACAATACACTGAGTAGGGCAGAAAGTAGACTCAGTACAACTATGTTTCCTTGTCTAGTTTTTATGGACAGTTCGACTAGATGGACATAAAATCCAGACGTCTTAACAGTGTAGCTTAACAGCAGCAATCAAAGATTCAGAAGGATAAATTTGACAATTTCATTGTGCTTCCTAGATCAAACATCATGAAGCATATTGAATGGTGAAAGTATGTTGTCCTTTATTTACATGATAAACTTAAATTCTAGAATAATCCAGTTTGAAAATAGCAACTAGTAGTTTTATGTTAGAAGTCACTATTTTTTAATGTGCATTTATTTAAATAATTTATATGACTGCCCATCTTGCAACAGTGATTCTGGGCAGCATGCAATAATTAAAAACGAAACTAGCCAATAAACTTACTGTTATCAAATTGTTAAACTATCTAGTGTATTTTGAGAGGATATACTGGGGGCAAAAAAAGCAGCAAAAACAATTACTTTTCAATGCCATAAAGACAGCTAAATCTATTTTGGATCATTCAGATATATTCACCTTTAATGAGCTAGCTCTCAACTAGTATAATGAAAAAAATGATCAGCATTTTTGTGTTAAGCTTTAATTATGTCACTTGTAACTTTCTTGGTTTTTTTCTGTTTGTTTTCCTGCTTGTCTTTGGCTTCTTTTCCTTTTATCATACATTAAAATTATTCTAAAACAAAAATTTAAAAATATATGTGGAGCAGCAATTAACACATGCAATTTTAAACTCTGCAGAATTATGCTGAAGAAGCTTCTTGGATGAGAAGTGAAACATCTTCAAGGAAAAACAAAAAAAAGTCTAGTTGCCTCTTGAAAAAAGCACCTTTGGGACAATTATGCAACATACTTATCCCTAAAATAAGTCATGCATTATGCTTGCTTCAGAAATATTTTAACAAAAAATATATGCTAACTTAATGTATAAACATATTGCGTGGATTAATCCATTAACATTAATTTAATTTTCCAGCCCTTCCTTCTCCTAATACGTGAGCAACATTGGATTTGTTAAATTCAAAGAAATTAATTTCACCTCAATTTTAATCATTGCCTGTTGCTGCTACTGGTAAAATTAATCCGTATTGTAAACTTACCTTGACGTAACGTTCATACCGTGCCTTCACTATGGGGTTATTCAAAATACTGGTAGCAGTTAGAACACTCTCTCTTTTAATTTGTTCTTTGTAAGTCTGTAAGTATTCCAAAGCAACATTCAAAAAACATCACAACAAAAGATGAGTTAGCCAGATATACTAAGTTGTCACTGAAGAAGAAAATAATCTCAAAAAAAGTTGAATCCTTACTAATTCTTGTACATCGAAATATTTGTCATTGCCAACTATACTGAAACGGATCAAACAGGGTCCACAACTCATTACCAAACTAATTCTATGGAATCTCCACAGTGTTGAAAAGTGGGAAAGGCCTGTTATAGAACTGAACATTTTGAAAGGCCAGGGCTGCAAACAGCCATAAATGCCTTAGATGTTGTTAAGCAGCTACAGTGTTTAGGCTGATAGAAAAGGGGGAAAAAATAGGTATGCATAGAGTTTCATTAACTGATTTTCAAATCTTTTTTAGAACCTGAACTAACATGGCTTTACTTTAAATATATGTTCTGACAAGTCCTGAGACCTTGAAACCAATTTGAAGAAAGAAAGAAGTGGGAACTTCTTTTAAAACTGCATTCTACTCATCATACAAACTTTCTCTTTTAACCACATCTCTTTCCACCTCATCTTGTCCATATGCAGTTATGACAAACTTAATAAGAACTAAAGAATTGTGTGCACCTGTGCTCTAAAAAAAAGGTGGGCAGTTTCTCATTCAAGAGTTCCAATTCCCTACCATCCATCCTACACAAACAATATGTGCAAAATCATTACAAAATGAATGGTGATTGGCACTAAAATATGTAACTGGGAATTTTACTTACCATGACCCAAATGCCTGGGAACAAACACCTGCTCTCACCTGCCTTTCTAATGACTACAGGGCTGAGGCCGATCATATATTGGGGGGAAGGCATCTCATTCCAAAGGGCAGGGACAGCCGCTAGAAAGACACCCCATGTGTCTCACAAGATGACACTGTTTCCAAAGAGAGGCCTGAGCACAATGTTCCTGTTGGAGCATATGGGGCAGGTAGAAGGTGGCCTCACACATAAACCAGTCAAATGCCTACAGGGTTTTACAGGATAACTAACACCTTGAAAAACATCTGGAATCTACAGACACTTTGTGATATGGACACAATGGAATGGAGTAACTGAAGCTTCCAGGATTTCAAGGGCAGTTCCATATAGAGGACATAAATTGCAATAATCCAATTAGGACATGACTAAATGTGAATGACCATAAGTAAACCCCCACCCCCCACCCCCAAAATCCATGAACAGGTGCAACTGGGACATAGAGTGAAGTTTTTGCAGTCGCATTTCAGTCCAGGAAGGCCCTCAAATTGTACATTAATCCAAGCAGGGTAGTACAACCCTGTCCAGAGTCAAAGATTAATTTTTTCCAGCTCCAGGCCCCGTGAAGTCCAAAACCCACATCTAGATCCTCAAAGCATAGAAATACCAGGACCAATCCGTGACAATTTCACTTGAGTTACCAGGCTCAGAAATACACAACTATCAACAAACTGGTACTGCATTCTGTGTCGACAAATTAGTAAATCTAGCACTTTGTGTAGAAGTTAAAAAGGAAATAGTTCTGAGGCATCCTGCAAAGTAGGGGTCTAGGATTAGATCACTTCCCCCACCAACCATCAATAACTACAACAATCTCTGAAGGAAAGAGAACTACCACAAAACAGTGGCCCCTACTCCCAGCCCTCTCTGCCAGTCAAGGATACCATGTTCAATGGATCAAAGACTAATTAGAGGTCAAGGAGGAATATCCCCACCCTGAACCCTTCAAATTTGTTTTGGCAACACTCCTTGCACTGAACGTTGTGAATAAGAATACATATGTCCATATAAATGTTTACTGTAGTATAAATGATGAATAATGGCAGCTCCAATCTTGAAATAAATTCACAATCCCTCATTATTTTCAGCAGTAGGATTTTAACGTCATGCATTTTGTCAGCATCGTTATGATAATGTTCCATGCATATTTTGTTTAACACATTATCAACATAGCATGGAAGCAATTTTGTGTTTTAAAGCATTCTCTTGCTCTTGAAACTGAGTTTCCATGCATCTCCAAAATTTTCAAATTATGTTCATAAACTACAGAAAACTACTCTGTGAGAACCTGATGTAACTTTGTTACAGACTGGGGTAAAATAACATTTACGAAACATAACTAATTTTCCCTCACTACATTTTTGTCTCTTGATCAGTGGTTCTGGGATTTTATTTTAACTAACAGTTTCTGCAGCCTGAAAAATATAAATACCTATAATATTTCTGAATACATTGTATAGCACACAAAGTATTAATCTGATAATCATCTAGCACTAGCCCAAGATCACTCATTTGGCTTTCATGCCTAAAGTGGGACTAAAACTCAGCTTCCTTCCCATTTGACTGACCCCTCTTTTTACAAGATGATGTTTGATTAGCATTCTTAAGATAACAAAGGGAGGCTGTGTATATATCTGAGAAAAAGGAGGCACATCCACCTGCTTTTATGCCACTCCTTTCTCACTGACTCACATATAGCCCCTCAACACATCCTACAAAAACAAAGATTGCATCCCTTCTTTTAAAAAATTATGCAAGATTTCTCCCTATAGAAAAGATCATTTTTGACACAGATAAATGCTTTGTGCTACTGCATCCTCCCCATATTATACTTTTTAAAGCACATAAAAATATGAATACAAATATTACTCAAAGTAAATCTAAATAAAAGTGAAAAACTCAAAAGAATGGAGACAAAATTATTTGTTTTTTTCTTATTTATATGGAGGGAGAAGGCTCTATTTACTCTTTCAATAGTATTTATTATAAAAATTCAGCAACAATCCTTTCTTTCATCCTTGAAATAAAATAAAAAACTAAGCATCTTTGTACAAATGTTTATTTTTTACCAGTTCTCATATATTTGAAGAACAGAGCAACATAAAATAAGATTTGCCTTTCAAACAAGGATGTAATCAGTGGAAAATAATATAGTAACCTATATCGTTTATATTTTTTGATTACTTTGCACAGTGGGATGAATTATGCTAATATTTTATATAGTCATCACGGGTCTTCGTAAAGAACTGACAAATGGCCAGACAATATATCTCTAGAAACCTGCAACTCTACTGAAATTGAACTGAGTAGATACATTTTACCTGTTTTCCTTTTGCATGTTCTGGAGACTTTAAATGCTGCTGAACAGAACTGTGTAGTGCAGGAACATAGACGCTGCATGCAGAGCAAAGGACAGTCTCAACTTTCATCATATGATCATCAGCCGTAACACCTAGTAAAGACATAACAGATGTCTGAGATTTGGTCAAAAAGAAAACAGCGATGATTCAATATATAAAAAAGCAGCAATATGGATTTTGCAAAGTTAAAAGGGGGACAGCCATATGGGGAACATTTCCAAGTATTCAATTACTGCATAATATAAAAAAAGGAGGAACAGAGGAAAAAATTACAAATACATATAGGTAACTCCTCACTTAACTGTAATTGGGACCAAAATTTCCACTGCTAAACAATGCAGCTGTGAAGTGTGTAATACACACCTAGCAACAGCAATCCTGTCAGTCTTGGTTAGCATCAATAAGCAAGGATTTCAGGACATTAAGCAAGCACCTCCTCATGTCTTCTTGTTTGCTTCCAACAAACAAAAGTAATGGAGAAGCCTACAGAAAGTTACAAGTCCTGGGTGATTTGCATGGCCTGAAGTAGATGCTGCCTGGTGTGTACTATGGAATACGGGCAGACATGCACTACAGAGTATCAGATCTCCATGATCTCATACTCCACAGCCAGGCTCCTTGGGGAGAGGGGGGAGCAGCAAGAGTGGGAGCAACTTGCTAGCTTCCCAGTTGACTTTGCTTGGGCAAGTCAACAGGGGAAATCACATATGATGATCATATGATTGCAGGATCCTGCAATCTTTGTGTAAATCAGTTGCCAAGTACCCAGTTCGTGATCAGGTGACTGCAAGGGTGCTGGGACAGAGTTGGAACTTTGAAAACCTATCATAGGCCCCACTTGTTTAGCTCCCTTGTAACCTTTGAGTAGCTATTGAATGATTGGTTTTTAACCATCTAAAAGTGAGAATGAGAGCCTTATTGTGGTCTGTCCACTTGCTGATAAAAAGAATCGAGACAAATATTCAAAACAATTCACTAGGATGCCCCATACAACTATAAAATGCATGAGTGATCCCCAAATATATCCTATATAGCTGTGCTAAATTTTTCATTACTTCTCCCTCACACCCTGAATTTCAAAACCTTCTAATTTTAAGTTTCAAAAACAGGTTCAGAATTCTAATTTTCCCTTCATGCTAATTTGACAGATAAGAACCAGCGAATCTTACATGAAATTTTTCAAATCCTCAGAAACCCAAGGATCTAAAACTAAGTTGGAAGAAAAAAACAGGATTGTTTATTCTTGCTTCCTAATAAGTGACCAAGATTTTACAATTTGACCTTCCAGCATACTGAGTCTATAGGTTAGAATAGCAGTGTTGAAACAGAACACCTATTTTCATAGGCTACTTGCCTTCCATTACATCTTTTTCAGTAATCTGAGCAGCTTCCATTTGGCTTGTAGTCTGCTGTTTACGCATAGCAGTCTTCTTAAATTTATTCACCATGCACTCCTAAAACAGAAATTAATATAATTTTGGAGGAATCGTAAATTATTTTTATTCCCCATTCATCTCCTACATTGGGGAATTCTAGATTCAACAGTTATGATTCAAATAACTATGAAATTAGGGATAGAAGAATATAATTTTCTGAAATAGTGGACTCCTGTTCCACTTTGAAAAGTATTACATAAATTGTTTCCACAACAGAAAGCAGGAAAAACCTCAAAAATTTCACAGCCAGAATAAGGTACTTCTACAAATCGCAGTAACAAAAGGCTCTTAGCTTTGTGACTATGAATAGACCTGGCAATCCTATCACATGGTAGACTATGATCAAATGGCACTATCAAGAATATAAAAATATTTGCCTAAATAGCCAACCAAGCATTGGATTTAGCATTGAGATGAAGGGTGTGGGAGGGCAGAAGAGAAAATTTATCATCTGAGCTCCATTTCAGGAAATAAAATATTTTAGGATGACAACATTAGAAGATCAAATATTTTCAAAATGTGCACAATGAACCTCACAGTTTAAAATGTAGAAATATTTCTTAAACAGATATGATTATTTATGATTATGCTTTTTAACCCATAAGATTAAACTGTTAATTGACCTGTTAGCTGGATTTACAGAATTAAAATAATTACTCACATGCAGAAACTCCATCACAACTTTGTCAAATTTGGTCTGTTTCTGAATGTGATCTAAAGTCTCCTGGTGAACAGCACTTTCAAGATGAGCTTCAATGTCTTTCTCTTCAAAGGTTCGAAATTTACAGAATGAGCAGGTGAATGCCATTCTAGCAGAAGATACAGGCACATTGTCAGTGCAACATGTAGAATAGCTAATCCATCAAAGTTTAATTGAATCAGGAGAACTGGATATTCCGATTAATAAAATTATCTTATCAAGCATTTAAATACTAATGAAAATGCATCCCTATAAACATTTTTCAACTATATGACAAATGTAGCCATCGTGAGTGAGATTGTGAGTTAAGTGTTTTGAAGATCACAATGGGTTTATGGACAAAGTGAAATTTGAATCGAAAATTTTCTGGCTCAAACCTTTAGCTACCACGCTAGCTTATAAAGCAAAACAAAATGTGTAATGCGTTTTTTAAACAAACAAACAAAAAACAAACAATCAAGAAACAGGGTTACTTAGTCTGAACTGTAAGAAACCAGACAACCACCAGATGGCACCAGGTTGGAATTTTCTTGTCTCTTTGCTATCTGAATTTTTGCAGATCAGATCTGGTAGCATCAGAAAAAAAGTACCATTGACAAAACCAGTCCTCTTCACTACTAAATCTAAATAATTATTAAGGTGACTCCTCAAGATGGCTTACGGGCATTCTATTCTTTTTGAAGATTTCTTGAGGATTTCAAAATATTTCCTGCATATAATGGCTTATTATACCCACAAATCACCTTTCCCTAACACCAGAAAAACCCCAGATATATGATAGGATAAGTACTGAGATTTGAACATACAACACCATGAAACAAACAGAGCCAAGGCAGTTTAGAGTAAGTACAATTGTTATGATACATGTCCTTGAATTATGGGTGAGACAAATTCACAACATTTCCACCACAAACCTGTAACCATCACCATACTTTTCACTATTTTTCTCCCTCCTACGCCTTTGCTTCTCCCTTCTTGCCTCAATTCGACGTTTTTCTTCCTCTTCATTTTTTACTTCTGGCTTGACGCCTAAAAACAATTAAGAGTTAAATAAATACTTAGGTTCTAGACTTTAACCAAGGGAAAATTTGAACTTACCCTACTACCTTTCAGCATTATTTAGAATCTCATAAGGAGGGATAATTTATGCCATGTGGGATGATGGCATCTACTAGGATGCTGTTGAATTAAAAGGAAAAAAATGCAAATTTTTAACACTTTGTGATACATGTATGTTTAAGGGCCATCTTCATGGGAATAATATCCAGAATTGAAGGCCCAGCCTTAATGTGCCAAAATAGTAAAGGCACTAAGTAAATGCTGAGAATAACAATGGGAGATCACCTTAATTAGTGGGCCTATAATTACCATAATTTCATGTTTATTAGATAAAATTTGTTAAAACTAAATATTTGCTGGTTTTATTGTGAAGACAGCTTACAGAAACAGACAAGAAAATGCATAGATACCCCAAAACAAAACAAAATGGGAAACTTCTGCTGTGTGATAGCTCTACATCGCCTGGGACCAGGCTATTTGAGGATTTTCCTCTTCCTAATCACATCTACCTATCCCACCAGGTCCACCAGGAAGAGTATGCTCAAGGTCCTGTCTACTAAAGAGGTCCATTTGGCAGGACCCAAACAACACACCCTTTCTACTTTGGTTCCTACCCTATGGAACATCACCCCCCGTTAAGGTGAAGCTAGCCTTTCAGAAGGACCTGCAGGAATGTTTTTCAGCACATTTGGAGATCCCTTGGTTGTATTATGTCTAATGGGATGTTTTTATCCTGCACTCTTGCTTTTTGTTTTATTTTTGAAATGTTTTTATGGTTGTGTTAGTTGTATGCTGCCCAGTCTTACACTCGGTGAGATGGACAGCTCTACAAAAACTTGTTAAACAAAGAAATCAGAAACTCAAGAATAGACCTCCTGATTTTCCCTATATGGCTAGGGAAAATCAACATACATATTAAAATGTATAACATTCCTTATTTTTCTAAACCTCTAATTGCAGGCCATAAAAAGGTAACTTCAGTATTTTATTCTATTTAAGGTGCTGCCTTCTTATAAGGGAGGTAAGCTTTCAGTCCTTATGTCAAATGAGGGTTTCTTTGTCAATTTGGACATGATTTTCAAGCAGCCAAACAGCTGTTCCCTCTATTACTTGTCACTTTGAAATAAAAGTCTACCTTATTAAAAACAGGTATTAAATGAGCTATCAATTTCCCAATTGATAAAACTATCTAATATGGAAATAACTAAGTATTAAACAAATATTTTTGGAAATGACTACAATTTCCATTATTGAGGCATGAGCAGAAAGAATGTATAAATCTAATAGCAGAGAAATTGGGAAGGCTTTCTGATTCCCATTGGTTGAACAAAAGACACCTAATTCTATCAACTGTCACAAATTATACTGTTGAAATTAAGAAAGCTTAGGATGACCAATACAGGTAATCCTCAACTTATGACCACAATTGAGCCCTACATTTCTGTTGCTAAGTGAGGCACATGTTAAATGAGTTGTGCCTTATCTTACGACCTTTCTTCCTACAGCAGTTAAGTGAATCACGGCAGTTGTTCAGTTAGTAACATAGTTGTTTAATGAAACTGGCTTCCCCATTGACTTTGCTTGTCAAAGGTTCGCAAAATGTGATCACATGACTCCAAGGCACTGCAACCATCATAAATAGGAGTCAATTACCAAGCTTCTGAATTCTGAGCATGTCACCACGGGGATGCTGCAATTGTCTTAAGTGTAAAAAACAATCATAAGTCACTTTTTTCAGTGCCATTGTAACTTTGAACAGTCACTAAATGAACTCCTCTATAAGTTGAGTGCTCCCTGTGCTGAATTTGTTGTGCAAAAATTTTGAGTTTTGTTTCTTTTGGATATACAAAACAAACTGAAGAGCCTACAATTCTTTAGCATTAAGAATCTGTATATTATTACATCAGGCTTTAATTAATAAGTCTTTCATTCCTTTTAAAAGATAAAGGAGATACATAAACCTGCCTGGTTATATACTGCAGCATGTAGCAGCAATAGCACTCTATTTTGCAGAACAAACAACCCCACTCTAAAGCGGTATGTAAGTTTAAGCACTATTGCTATTGTTATCATACAGAACCTATCCCAAGCACAGGGAACTGCTAACCTAAAAGCCTTGGTGCCCCTAGAGATTTTGAATCCAGCCTGCAGCCTTACAATCTTCTCTGTAACACTAAATAGAATAGAATAAAATTCTTTATTGGCCAAGTGTGATTGGACACACAAGGAATTTGTCTTTGGTGCAAATGCCCTCGGTGTATGTAAATATATTTTAAATATATTGTATATTTTAAATATACACACAAACACACACACACACATTCATCAAGAACCATAAGATACAACACTTAGTCATAGTCATAGGATACTAAATAAGCAATCAAATTATACTGGGAAAATAAATCAAGCAATATAATTCGTAAAGATACAAGCAACAAGGTTATAGTCAGTGGTGGGATTCAGCCCGTTCGCACCAGTTCAAGAGAATTGTTGATTAACTCTTTGTGGGGTTCTGTGAACCGGCTGAATAATCAAGGCTGCCTGCCTAACTATTCCAGTAGCTCACACACACCTCAAATGTCATTCGTAATTAACTAAAGGAAAGGAAAGGAAAAGAAAAAGAAGAAATAACCACATAGTCATTTCCTCAGCAGAAGAATTCTAGCCCCTTTGAAACTCAGAGGGAAATAAAGTGAAAGAGAGGGGTTTTTTTCTTCTCTCTCCCTTCAGTTAATAGGTCCAGGCAGGCAGCCAAGAACCATTTAACAGGTGAATACTTAGTTGTGATAATAAAACCACAGGAATGCAGCCAGCACAGAAACAATAAAAACTTACAGATCATACAGATTAACAGAGTTGGAAGGGACCTTGGAGGTCATCTAGTCCAGTGGTCGCCAATCAGTGGGCCGGGGACCACTGGTGGTCCACAAGAAGATTTTGATGGTCCAGAGAAATGTCACCCCCAAAGCACTTAATCCAGGCTGCACAGAAACACAAAGCTGTGCCACTCACATGGCCCACAGGAACATAAGGCTGGTGTCACTTGCATTGCAAACAACACAAGGCAGTGAGGGGAGGGGGAAAGGGCAGAGAGTGGGGAACTTGCCCCACTCGCCCCATTGGCCATCGGGCTGCTTCTTTCTGCTTTTTTATTCTTCTGCTTTTGGCTGCACCCAAGGAAAGCATCAAAAGTCTTTCTTTCCCTCTCCCAAACTCCACCAGAAATGAGTCTTTGGGACTCTGAAAGGCATCCTGCTCCAAGAGGCTGTGCCGGCAAAGACTCATTTCTGGCGGAGTTTGGGACTTCTGCTGCTTTTCTTGCATAAAGCCAAAAGTTAGTCAGTCAGTCAGTCAGTCTCTCTCTCTCTCTCCTCCTGAGAACAGAGCTGGAGACGGTATCCTGCAATCCCAAATAAAGAACGATCGATCGGTAGGAAAACGGGGTGGGGAATTTTCCTGCAGACTTTTTTGGGGCATTTTCCCAGGGTCTCTGGTCCGCGGGATTTAAAATTATGAATTTGGTGGTCCCTGAGGTCCAAAAGGTTGGTGACCTGTGATCTAGTCCCACCCCCTGCCCAAGCAGGAGACCCTACACCATTTCTGACAAATGGCAGTCCAATTTCATGAAAGCCTCCAGTGATAAAGCTCCCACAACTTCCAAAAGCAAGCTGTTTCCCTGGTTGATTAGTCTCACCCTTAGGAAATTTTCTCCTTAGTTCCAGATTGCTTCTTTTTTTGGTTAATTTCCATCCACTGTTTCTTGTTGTGCCTTTTGGTGCTTTGGAAAATAGATTGACTCCCTCATTTTTGTAGGAGCCCCTCAAATTTCCTGACAGAACTATTAATCAGTGGAACAACTTGTCTCCAGAAGTTGTAAATGCTCCAACACTGGAAGTTTTAAAGAAGAGATTGGATAACCATTTGTCTGAAGTGGTGTAGGGCAGTGGCCCCCAACCTTTTTCGAACCAGGGACCGGTTTCACGATTATTTATTCTTCCACGGACCAGTACCTGAGTAACGTGAGACTCCACCGCCATCGGGACGGCTCTTCGTTCGAAGCCGCCCCCCCCCTTCGACGAAACTAAGGCGCGAGCACCCAAACGCCGCTTTCCAACTGAAAAACCGGAAGCACTTTCCAACCAAAAACCCAGAAGCAACCGAAAACCTGGAAGCGCTGTCGAAACAAGATGGCGGCGCCCAAGCTTTGCGGCCCGGTAAAAAATGATCCACGGACCGGTACCGGTCCGGGGACCGGTGGTTGGGGACCCCTGGTGTAGGGTTTCCTGTGTAAGCAGGGGGTTGAACTAGAAGACCTCCAAGGTCCTTTCCAACTCTGTTACTCTATTCTGTTCTAAATATTGGAACAGTGCTATTTTATTGTGAGTTAGACTAAGGAGAAATTCCCCAAGGGTGAAACTAATCAAGATGGCCACGCCCACCAGTCACATGACCACTTAGCCAGTCATTAGGACAGAGAACCAGTTGTTCAATTCTTTGAATCCCACCACTGGTAATAGTCGTAAGTAGGAGATAGGTAATAGGAAGGATGAGAAGAATAACAGAAACACAGCCCTACTAGGTAGTTTGACAGTGTTGTGGGAATTAGCAGAATGATGGCATTCAGGGGAAAACTGTCCTTGTGTCTAGTTGTTCTGGTGTGCAGTGCCCTATATCATCGTTTTGAGGGGAGAAGCTGAAACAATTTATGTCCAGGATGTGAGGGGTCTGTAGATATTTTCAACGCCCTTTTTTTGACTTATGCAATATACAGGTCCTCAATGGAAGGCAGGTTGTTAGCTATGTTTTTTGTTTGCAGTCCTAATTATCCATTGAAGTCTGTCTGTCTTGTTTGGTTGCAGAGCCAAACCAGACAGTTAGAGGTGCAGATGACAGACTCAATAATTCCTCTGTAGAACTGAATCAGCAGCTCCTTGGGCAGTTTGAACTTTGTGAATTGGTGCAGAAAGAACATTCTTTATTGTGGTATTTTGATGATATTTTGATGTTAGGTGTGCATTTTAAGTTTTGAGATATGATAGAATCTAAAAACTTGAAGGTCTCTACTGCTGATCCTGTGTTGTCTAGTATTGTAGGAGATGGTAGTATAGGAGGGTTTCTCCTAAAACCTACCATCATTTCTATGGTTTTGAGTGTGTTTAGTTCAAGATTGTTCCGGTCGCTCTCATCTGTATGCAGATTCGTCATTGTCTCGAATGAGATCTATCACTGTTGTATCATATGCAAACTTCAGTACTTTAACAGAGGGATCTTTTGAGATGCAGTCATTGGTATAGAGAGCCGGGGGGGGGGGGGGGGGGCTTTGCTGTACAGGTAACTGATATGATTTTGCCTAGCTTCACCTGCTGCTTCCTGTCTGTTAGGAAGCTTATGATCCATTTACAAGTGTGGTCAGGTACAGCTAGCTGATTTAGTTTAGTTAGAAGAAGATCTGGAATGATGGTATTGAATGCTGAGCTGAAGTATACAAAGAGAACCCTTGCATAGGTCTTTGGAGATTCAAGATGTTGTAGGATGTAGTGTAGAGCCATATTTGCTAGGTAGGAAAACTGCAAGGGGTATAACAATATATTCATGATGGTTTTCAGATGGGCCAGTACTAGTCTTTCAAAGGTTTTCATAACTACAGATGTTAGAGCAACTGGTCTGAAGTTATTCAGTTTCTTGATGGGTTTCTTTGGCACTGGGATGACAGTAGAGCGTTTGAAGCAAGAAGGAACATAGCACATCTCTAGTGATTTATTAAAGATGTGAGTGAAGATAGAGGCCAGTTGGTCAGCACAAGCTTTTAAGCAAGGTGTTACCTTGTCTGGGCCTGATGCCGTTCCTGGCTTTTGTCTGTGAAATAGATCTTGCACGTCATTTTCTGTACTCACCAGAGGTGGTGGGCCCAATGGGATGGGGTCAGTTGTAGGAGGCTTGGCTGTTGTTGGTGTGTCCGAGATGGGGATTGTGGTGATAGGTGGCAGTAGTTTTCTCTCAAACCTACAGTAGAACACATTCAGGTCATCTGCCAGTTGTTGATTTCCTTCAGCATGGGAAGGAGGTTTGCTGTAACCAGTGATATTTTTTAAGAGTTTCCCATTTTCATTTGTTGAGAACTGATTCCTCAGCTTTTCAGAATAGCTTCTTTTTGCTGCTCTGATCTCCCTTGTTAATACATTTCTGGTCTGATTGTACAGCATTCTATCACCTTTTCTGTAGTCTTCCTCTTTGGTATGACGTAGCTGCTTAAGTTTAGCTGTGAATCAAGGTTTGTTCCTACTGAATACTGCAGGTTTCTGGTCAACACACATAGGCCTTCACAAAAACTGACATACGATGTTACCGTATCTGTCAATTCATCTGAAGAATCTGAAGAGATATCTTCGAAAACATTCCAATCAGTGCAGTCAAGGCAAACCTATATCTTTAGGTTTGCCTCCTCAGTCCAAGACCTCAATGATTTAATTGTTGGTTTCATGGTTTTAAGTCGTTGTCTTATAAACAGGTACAAGGTGAATCATGCAATGATCAGCGAGTCCCACAGCTGCTCGTGGTAAAGACCGATAAGCATCTTTTAATGTTGTGTAGCAATGGTCTAAAGTATTCTTGCCTCTAGTGAGACAATTGATATGCTCAAAATATTTTGGTAGCTCTTTCCTTAAATTAGCACTGTTGAAATCTCCTAACGTAATGAATAGTGAATCTGGATATTTAACTTCAGCCCACATAATCTGGTCAACTAGAGTTGGTGATGCATTGTTTACACAAGCTTGTGGAGAAACATACACAGCAATTAGGAGAACTCTCGTGGAGAATAAAATGGTTTGCAATTGATAATTAAATAATTAAAGTACCATTACCTAAAATTCCCGCTCTACCCCTTCTTTGCCTCCGGTGTTTCTTCTTGTTGTTTATCCATTGTTCAGAGGAAGTTGCTTCTTCCGAGGAAGTTGCTTCTTCCTGCATTAGAATCTCTTCTGCATTTGTAAAGACAGGGGGGTGTGGTCATAGAAAGCTGCCCATTAAAGAAACATTGCTTGATGCTTAGCAGTTGGTCTCTTGAGTATGAAATCGTAGTGAATCACAGAGAATGATTAAAAAAACAGCAAAACTTAAAGGCTTATCAAAATAAAAACAAACTACTATTCATGTAAGTGAGACATAATTTTAATTCTAACAGCTGACCAAGAAAAGTCTGTGTGGGGGAAAAAAAAGCAAGAAGGAACAAGCCATGATCCACCACCAACTCTGTTTATCTTTAGAATGCAATCCAACACTTTTTTCCCCTCCTGTGATCATGGAATTTGATAATAAAAAGATGATTCTCCACCACTGTTCTAGCCCCTGCCACCCAGAAACATCCCCAATACCCTCCAAAATATTCCATAGGGATACACTTGCAATGTTGCATCTTACCTCTGAAGCTCAAAGAGTATGCAAATAAAATCCTGTTTAATTTCTTTGTAAGTTATTTGCTTGACTTCTGCAGAGAGACATTGCTACATCTTAGGTTTCAAGTTCAGCAGACAATTTTAAAACCTAGCCTAGCACAGATCTGGAGAAAGGATGTTCAAGTCCATATATGAAGTTGATACCTCTATTTGGAGAGTTGAAATTGGAACATGTAAACATTTGCTAAAATACCATTACCTAATAGATCTACAGACATACTGGTAGACTAAATGGACCTTAAATCTGAAAATGATACAATTGGAGGTAGAAATAAGTCCACTTCATTATGAACAGTGCAGATTTTTTATCAGTGCAAGGTAGTTTAATGGAAAGCCTATTAGACAGTATGAGATATGTCCACAATTTTATAAAACAAGAAACTTTATGTAGCAAGTTATGTAACACTTCATATCATACAGATTAAATACAACAACAAAGCACAACAGGGAAAAGAAATTTCAATTTCCATTTTTTTTACTGTACTTGTGGACTGCAAAATATATTTTAGTAACTCAAGCATTTAGAAAAAGTTTTAATAAGCAACACCTAGTCATTTTTTGTTGAAGAACAGCTGGTAGTTGACTATTTTCAAATCAATACCTGATAAAATTATCAGTAAGTAAAAAATAAGAACACTCATTTTAAGTGACAATGTGCTAAAAGAAACAACTCAAAGAGATGGTTGCATCATCCCAGGATTGTCATTTGCAACCTTCCCAGGGTGCTTCTGACAAGCGAAGTTCGATGGGAAGCCAGATTCACTTAAAGACCACATGATTCACTTAACAACTGTAGCAATTTGCTTGACAAACATGGCAAAAAGACCATGGTAAAAGAGGGCATGACTCACTTAACAGCTACCTTGCTTAGCAACAGAAAGTTTGGGCTCAGTTGTGACTGTAAGTTGAGTGCCTGTATTTTGCGCACTGCCATCTGACCTTTGGAAGGCCTGAAAGATCAGATTAGGGACAGATCTTTATGGAGAAAATCTATTTTAGATTGTTATCAGGAGTCAATACTGACTTGATCACAACCAATCACCATTTTAAACTGTCAACTGCCTAAAGAGAATTCAAAGGATTAACTGTTTTTATAAATGTATCTATAGAGTAGGGGTTTCCAACCTTGGCAACTTTTAAGATGTGTGGACTTCAACTTCCAGAATTCCTCAGCCAGCTCTGTTAGTTGAAGTCCACAAGTCTTAAAGCTGGCAAGGTTGGAAACCCCTACTATAGAGAATTCAGAAGTAGTTCAGAGATTCTGATACAATTGTTTAATACAGCTTCATTACCAACTAAATCATATTTCAGATTCAAATAATGACAGGTGAATCTTTACATAAATGGTCATAATGTGGAAAAACTGAACACTGCTTGCCTAGATTTTGAAGACCTTTGTTATTTTTTAATGAAACCGAGTCTAGACTAATTCACTTTTTTTTTTTGCAAAACACCTCTTCAAAGCTTTTTTGATTCCTGTTTTAGTTTTGTTCAAAATACATTTAAATATTTCTTAAGAAATTCAGACTTTAAAATTAGAGATAGTCCTCGACTTATAACAGTTCATTTAGTGACTGTTCAAAGTTACAATGACACTGTGAAAAGTAAAAAAAAATTCACACTTATGACCATAGCAGCATTGCCATGGTCACGTGATTTACATTCAGATGCTTGAAAACTTGTTCATATTTATGGCAGTGAGATCCTGGAGTTATGTGATCCCCTTTTGCGACCTTCTTTACAAGCAAAGTCAACGGGGAAGCCAGATTCACTTAACAACCATGTTACTAACTAAACAATTGCAATGATTCACTTAACAACTGGCAAGAAAGGTTATGAGGCAAAATTTACTTAACAAATATCTTGCTTGGCAACAGAAATTTTGGGCTCAATTGTGGTCATAATTTGAGGACTGCCTGTAGATGGTCCATATCTGCCTACTTTTAAATTTAATATTGTTAGAACTGTTTTGTTTTTTTAAATGTCTCTAGATTACAACCAGAGCTTCAAAAAGAAATTCTACCTTCTAACACTATGGTAGCGGATGTTGTTTCAAAATTCTACCATGAAGACCGAGAAAGCTTACTATGTAGACAGATCTCTCAGCTTCTTTAAAAATTTTGAAAATTGAAAGTAGTTATTACTTTAATGTATTGCAATGCCTGATAAAAAGTGCAATGTTTTCCAAAACTAGATCTTTACCTCTACAGTAGTTTTCTTGCTTGGTGTCCTTGGGTCTATTAGCATGAAAGGAGGAAGAAATTCAAGAAAATCCAACTGCAATTAAATGTTTTGTCTCACCTAGCAATTATTTTAAATCTTTGGAGAACTGAGAAAATCGGAATCTTGGACACAGAAAATCGGAAGGAAAATTAAAGAAATGGGTATAAAATAGCCTCCTCTTTAAAAAGAAAACAGGAAAAATACAAAGAATTTAGCCAATTTCTCTTTGTCGAGCACTGAAAATACACTAAATCTGAAAATGCAGTAGACCATATGGGCTTATAACATCATACTGTGTAAGTGGTTTTCCATTAATTGGTTATACATCTTTTACCTTCCATTCACAACTATTGCTTTAATCATATGCAAGATTATTCTTCACAGCATTTTACCTAAGATGATCCTGTCATCATCTACTTTCTACAACTTTCTACACTTATTCTCAATCCAGAAATAAAAGTATCTGAACAATTAAACTGAAGAATTAAAAACATTTTAATAGACAACCAACTTGAAAACAGGGAGATAGGAACTTGCAAACAATATTTTAGATTAATCTGATTAGAAATAAGAATGCTTAGTAATAAAAGAACTGTTAAAATATATTCAAATTCAGACAGGTTTTAAACCTCAAATAAAAGTATAGAATCTAGTTTTTCATAATATGCAATGTCATAAATGAAATGGAAAATACAATTGATTCAATAGGGAGAATTTATTGTGAAATTGTTATGGTATTTACTATGATAGAGACATAACTATATACATACGTTTTGTTTTTATACTCAAGGGTATGAACTCTAAAAACATAGTAAAAGGAGAAAAAGATAAAATACATTGGAAGGAAAAATATTGAGGGGATATAGAGAGACATATAGAGATAGA